GGAGAGAGACCAAAGAGGGAGAGAGACCAAAGAGGGAGAGAGACCAGAGGGAGAGAGACCAAAGAGGGAGAGAGACCAGAGGGAGAGAGACCAAAGAGGGAGAGAGACCAGAGGGAGAGAGACCAAAGAGGGAGAAAGACCAGAGGGAGAGAGACCAAAGAGGGAGAGAGACCAGAGGGAGAGAGACCAGAGGGAGAAAGCCCAAAGAGCAAGAGAGACCAGAGGGAGAGAGACCAAAGAGGGAGAGAGACCAGAGGGAGAGAGACCAAAGAGGGAGAGAGACCAGAGGGAGAAAGCCCAAAGAGCAAGACAGACCAGAGGGAGAGAGACCAAAGAGGGAGAGAGACCAGAGCGAGAGAGACCAAAGAGGGAGAGAGATCAAAGGGAGAGACACCAGAGGGAGAGAGACCAGAGGGAGAGAGACCAAAGAGCAAGAGAGACCAGAGGGAGAGAGACCAAAGAGGGAGAGAGACCAGAGGGAGAGAGACCAAAGAGGGAGAGAGACCAGAGGGAGAGAGACCAAAGAGGGAGAGAGACCAGAGAGAGTCACCAGAGGGAGAAAGCCCAAAGAGCAAGAGAGACCAGAGGGAGAGAGACCAAAGAGGGAGAGAGACCAGAGGGAGAGAGACCAGAGGGAGAGAGACCAAAGAGGGAGAGAGACCAGAGGGAGAAAGCCCAAAGAGCAAGAGAGACCAGAGGGAGAGAGACCAAAGAGGGAGAGAGACCAGAGGGAGAGAGACCAAAGAGCAAGAGAGACCAGAGGGAGAGAGACCAAAGAGGGAGAGAGACCAGAGGGAGAGAGACCAAAGAGGGAGAGAGACCAGAGGGAGAGAGACCAGAGGGAGAGAGACCAAAGAGGGAGAGAGACCAGAGAGAGTCACCAGAGGGAGAAAGCCCAAAGAGCAAGAGAGACCAGAGGGAGAGAGACCAGAGGGAGAGAGACCAAAGAGGGAGAGAGACCAGAGGGAGAGAGACCAGAGGGAGCGAGACCAAAGAGGGAGAAAGACCAGAGGGAGAGAGACCAAAGAGGGAGAGAGACCAGAGGGAGAGAGACCAGAGGGAGAGAGACCAGAGGGAGAGAGACCAAAGAGAGAGAGAGACCAGAGGGAGCGAGACCAAAGAGGGAGAGAGACCAGAGGGAGAGAGACCAGAGGGAGGAGAGAGAGAGAGAGAGAGAGAGAGACAGTTGTAGAGAGAGAGGAGAGAGAGAGACAATTGTAGAGAGAGAGAGAGAGAGAGAGAACAGCTGTAATCTTTCTTTATTTATTTATATTTATATACCGCCTTTTCACTGCACATCGGAGTCTCAAAGCGGTTTACAATTGTTATTTTTGGGAGTGGGGGTCGCCAGTACAGGAGGCACATGCCAGACCTATTGTACATATTTTTAGTGGTAGGGGAAACCGGAGTACCCGGAGGAAACCTACGCAGACACGGGGAGAACATGCAAACTCCACTCAGAAAGACCCTGGTCCGACCGGGATTCGAACCCAGGACCTTCTTGTTGAGAGGCGAGAGTGCTATCCACTCAGCCACCGTGCCGCCCACGTTTTGTGGCGGTAGCTGTAGGTGGTAACCGCCACAAAACGTGTTGATATAACGTTTCAATTTTTAAAGACGTTTTCCCTGTGGGTTTCTCTTTCCTGCATGACCAGAGAGAACGAGACCAGAGAGAGTCACCAGAGGGAGAAAGCCCAAAGAGGGAGAGAGACCAGAGGGAGAGAGACCAAAGAGGGAGAGAGACCAGAGGGAGAGAGACCAAAGAGGGAGAGAGACCAGAGGGAGAAAGCCCAAAGAGGGAGAGAGACCAGAGGGAGAGAGACCAGAGGGAGAGAGACCAAAGAGGGAGAGAGACCAGAGGGAGAGAGACCAGAGGGAGAGAGACCAAAGAGGGAGAGAGACCAAAGAGGGAGAGAGACCAGAGGGAGAAAGCCCAAAGAGGGAGAGAGACCAGAGGGAGAGAGACCAAAGAGGGAGAGAGACCAGAGGGAGAGAGACCAAAGAGGGAGAGAGACCAGAGGGAGAGAGACCAAAGAGGGAGAGAGACCAGAGGGAGAGAGACCAAAGAGGGAGAGAGACCAGAGGGAGAGAGACCAAAGAGGGAGAGAGACCAGAGGGAGAGAGACCAAAGAGGGAGAGAGAGGGAGAGACCAGAGGGAGAGAGACCAGAGGGAGAGAGACCAAAGAGGGAGAGAGACCAGAGGGAGAGAGACCAAAGAGGGAGAGAGACCAGAGGGAGAGAGACCAAAGACAGAGAGAGACCAGAGGGAGAGAGACTAAAGAGGGAGAGAGACCAAAGAGGGAGAGAGACCAGAGGGAGAGAGACCAAAGAGGGAGAGAGACCAAAGGGAGAGACACCAAAGAGGGAGAGAGACCAGAGGGAGAGAGACCAGAGGGAGAAGAGACCAGAGGGAGAGAGACCAAAGAGGGAGAGAGACCAGAGGGAGAGAGACCAAAGAGGGAGAGAGACCAAAGAGGGAGAGAGACCAAAGAGGGAGAGAGACCAAAGAGGGAGAGAGACCAGAGGGAGAGAGACCAAAGAGGGAGAGAGACCAGAGGGAGAGAGACCAAAGAGGGAGAGAGACCAGAGGGAGAGAGACCAGAGGGAGAGAGACCAAAGAGGGAGAGAGACCAAAGAGGGAGAGAGACCAGAGGGAGAAAGCCCAAAGAGCAAGAGAGACCAGAGGGAGAGAGACCAAAGAGGGAGAGAGACCAGAGGGAGAGAGACCAAAGAGGGAGAGAGACCAGAGGGAGAAAGCCCAAAGAGCAAGACAGACCAGAGGGAGAGAGACCAAAGAGCAAGAGAGACCAGAGGGAGAGAGACCAAAGAGGGAGAGGGACCAGAGGGAGAGAGACCAAAGAGGGAGAGAGACCAGAGGGAGAGAGACCAAAGAGGAAGAGAGACCAGAGGGAGAGAGACCAAAGAGGGAGAGAGACCAGAGGGAGTCACCAGAGGGAGAAAGCCCAAAGAGCAAGAGAGACCAGAGGGAGAGAGACCAAAGAGGGAGAGAGACCAGAGGGAGAGAGACCAGAGGGAGAAAGCCCAAAGAGCAAGAGAGACCAGAGGGAGAGAGACCAAAGAGGGAGAGAGACCAGAGGGAGAGAGACCAAAGAGCAAGAGAGACCAGAGGGAGAGAGACCAAAGAGGGAGAGAGACCAGAGGGAGAGAGACCAAAGAGGGAGAGAGACCAGAGGGAGAGAGACCAGAGGGAGAGAGACCAAAGAGGGAGAGAGACCAGAGGGAGAGAGACCAGAGAGAGTCACCAGAGGGAGAAAGCCCAAAGAGCAAGAGAGACCAGAGGGAGAGAGACCAGAGGGAGAGAGACCAAAGAGGGAGAGAGACCAGAGGGAGAGAGACCAGAGGGAGCGAGACCAAAGAGGGAGAAAGACCAGAGGGAGAGAGACCAAAGAGGGAGAGAGACCAGAGGGAGAGAGACCAGAGGGAGAGAGACCAAAGAGAGAGAGAGACCAGAGGGAGCGAGACCAAAGAGGGAGAGAGACCAGAGGGAGCGAGACCAAAGAGGGAGAGAGACCAGAGGGAGAGAGACCAAAGGAGGGAGAGAGACCACAGGGAGAGAGACCAAAGAGGGAGAGAGACCAGAGGGAGCGAGACCAAAGAGGGAGAGAGACCAGAGGGAGAGAGACCAAAGAGGGAGAGAGACCAGAGGGAGAGAGACTGAATAATATATAACATAATATATAACATAATACAGCATATATATATAATATATACACTACATATTATATATTACCTAATTATATGCTAAATTAAAGTAAAGTGCTTTAAGCCTGGCCTTGAATGTGGAGAGTACAGTGTGCTCAAAGGCGTTGTGAAATGAGAAATAGGACGGTTGAAGGCTGTAAAACTATAATTTTACTAACTGGTCACGTTCTGTATTTGCCTGATCAACGCTTGTTTAGCCTAGTCTGGCCCTTTTTCGTGATGTCACTGCTGAGGTCTATTGACACAAAGCGAGCCTAGTGGTCAACAGAAATGGGTTGTTACGTGTTTTCGAAATAAAGTTAAGGTCTTGGGAAAAATAAATCTGTTTTTAAAAAAGTCTGGAATTTTAATTTGGATAAAGAGCAAGCACCCAGTCTAATATATTGTTGGATTATTTAGTCATGCATTTGTCTCCAGTTGGTTAGACTTCGGCAACAACCCGCTCACTGGACTCTCAAAACAAGGTGTACAACAGCTGCAGTATATTTCCAATTCTAAAACATGAAAGGACAAACTCAAAGTCTTAATCACTTCTTAATCTGGCCAAACCTAGTTCACAATTTTACTGTTAATTATAACTTTACTTTTTAAATCTACATCTCTTTACTCAATTCACATTCATTTGTTTTGTATAGCGCTAAATCCCAACCGTAGCTCTCTCTCGGAGGACTTTACATTAATGTTGAAAAAGTCCATGAATGTTGTTGAATCCTGGATCATCACCACTGTCCTTAGACCCTCCTGCAAGTGCCATTTGGACCATGAGCTCTAATTTAGCGATATATAGAATTGAAAATCATATCAATTGTATCTATTACATGGATACTGGTTAGGCCCTCTTTAAGGACGACTAGAACACAGACATTCTCTCAAAAATATGACTTCACAAAATCCTCCATTCCGCTCTGATTCAAAGCCCTTCTAATTTGACTGCAGCCGGGGTATAACTTTCTCCAATTACCTTTCATGGCAGCCATACACGTTGCCTTCTTATCCAGGCTTTTCCCAAACACTGTATCGTGAAACTCCTACGAACCACCGGTCTTCCAATTTGCCGTTCGCTAATCCTCTCTAAACTGGGTGTAGTCTTTGGAACAGCCAAGATTAGGACTCAGGCTTTTCTGCGTTTCACACCGTCGACTCTCCCTTGTGAATTTGCTTTATCGCTTCCTCGGCTGTTGCAAGGACAAATAAATCTGGATGCATTTGAAAGAACGGGCGGCGGCAACAGCGGCTTGATTCTGGTCGGCGGATTCTGTCTTCAAACGGGACGAGGATGCGGCGTGTGTAGAACCAGGGGAAACAAAAGTGAGACGGGTAATTGATTTGGAAGCAGTTGAGAGGCTTTTGTGTTCGCATTGTTGTGTACTGTTGTCATGGTAACCCCAGTATAGGTCTGATTAGTGACGTCTTTTTTCGTCATAATTTTGCATTTCTGCCAAGACCCTTTGAGTCCACTTTTCCTGGAACCATACAAATATTCTCATCTGTAAAAATACTTTTCCAGCTTTGAGAGAAAGGCAATCATGATTTTGTTGCAGTCACATAGTAAACATTTAGTAAACACCAATATCTATTTTATTAATTTATAACCAGGAAAAATCCCATTGAGGCTAAAAACCTCTTTTCAATAGAGTTCTGGCAAAAAAAATAGCAAAGTTACACATTGAACAGAAAGTTTTCTTCCAAAGTGTAGAACAAAACAAGATAGAAACAATCACACAAGGCATTCAAATCATAAATAATCACATACTTTAAAAACAGTAAAGAACATGATTAACATGATGGTAGAATAACATACTGTATCAAGTTAATCTGCGGACTGCCCCGCCTAACCCGCCTGGGAGTGCTTCAGTCCTGCACCGGACCTGTCCACGTTCATTGGCCACTGGTCCACGTCCTGTAGCTAGCTTAGGTCCTGGATCTACAGCCTGTCCGTCCGGAGGAGCGGATCCCTTTCTCAACTGGGTCTCCCTGAGGTTTCTCACTTTTTTCCCACAGGGTCTGTTGGACAGTTAGTGTGTCACGTGGGTGAAAAACAAATGAGGCCCAAAATGCAAAACAGCAAAAAATAATGATAAATAATCTTTTTTTTAATGAATAATAAAAAGATAAAACAAATCCAAAACCACAGAGAACGAGGACAGAACTAAAACAGACTAGGAATGACAATGACGGAACAGGGAGTGAAGGAACACACAGGGCTAAATACAAGACTAACGAGACACAGGTGAGACACATGAGGGCGGGGCATCACACAGGAAGTAACACTAAAGAAGACACAGGGATAACACATTTCAAAATAAAACAGGAAATAAACTTAAACCATGACATAGTGTCCAACTAGAAGGACTGTGGTGATCCAGGACACTTTAACATTCTACATGTATGACATTTATCAACATGTGTTCTATATTCTCTGTGTGTTAAGTGTTGATTCTCTGATCTGTGTTGGTGATTTCAATGGTTTTGTTAAGTCTCTGAGATGATACTGTTGTGATTTAGGGCTATGTAAGAATAAATTGTATTGTAAATCAATCAGTTAGGGTTAGTTCTCTCAATTTTAACTATCATTTTCATTGTTTTATTTTTCATTTGATTTTTAATATAATTTACAGTATATGCTATAAACATACATACAGTAAGCACATGCCCATACATTCATACATACATATCCACTCCTGTCTTTATATCATAGATGGACATACATGATATATACATTACATTATTGCATTGTTTGTTATATACTGTATATTATTTTATGTATTTTAGTTAGCAGGGACATACAATGATAATACACAATTTACCTAAAATTTTTCTTCACATTTCTCATTCTTTTTTTGAAACCAATGTGCCACAGTGGCCAGTGTGCACCAGTACGTCCGGCGGCCTCATCTCTCACTGGTCCCAGCACCAAAGCGGACACACAGCAGCCGCCGACCGCACAAACGTCTACACATTTACCTTGTTGTGTTGTGGGAGTGTGTGGGGAAACGGTTTTTCACTTACAGCCTTTAATCACCTGCAAAATTAGATCGTATCAAATGTCCTCTACTGACATCATCGTAACTCACTGTTTTAAGCTGCAGAACCCGATTCACTTTAAAACAGCTCACATTATGTTCAGGGCATCGGGAAACTTTCTAATGTACTTTTTTCTTGATAGAGATGCTCAACATAAACACAGACTCATTTTAAGATCTATTTTAAGATCAATGTTTGTCACAAAGCAAAAAGCTACTCTTTGAAGCTGTGTTCAAATCTGTCCAAAAACACTTATTACAAAAATAAGTATTTAAGAAGCACATGGAGGAAAGAGAGCCTTAGCACTGAGTGAGAGAGGGGGAGAGGTGTAGGGTCAGAGAGTGTTTGGGCTTGAGAAGGGTGTGTTGTGTTGTATGACCCCTTCATTGTCATCCGTGTACATGAGTTGAAGTTTAAAAAAAAAAGATATGATTTAACATGGCTTTCTATGTTGAACAACCACATTTTTTCTCAGTAAGTTGGGATTCTCATGTCACCAGTAATAAAAAGGTAGAGTTATGAAAATTACTCTAAAAATCTAAAAATAACAATGTGAGAAATGTGTGTCCAAGGCACTCGTTTCCTTGTGAAATAACTATCCTTAATAACCGGAAAAGCCTTTGACCCACGCTTTAATGAATGATTTTTGTTCCACATGATAATGAGTCTCTCAGACCTCGATTTTTGACTGCACTTTCCACTTCCCTGCGTCGCCTTTTTAACTGCTCAATGAAATACAGAGTTTGTTCCACAGTTTAACAGCCTGACCCACAAATGAGTTCTGTCCATGATTGAAACATATGATTCATACAGTACATGAAACATTTTTTTAGTTCTAGCTGATCTGTTTGTACCCACTTCATCCTGTTTTGAGTGTGTTTGTGGAGGACAACAGTGCATCCTGAAGTTAGAGATTTTATACTTAATTATTACTTCTTTATTATGCTTAAGTCAGACATTTTAGACTTGCTTCTTCATTTAGCTTATTATTTTCAATGGATCATCAAGACTATTGGTCGTCCCAACTGTCAATCATTCTGGTGATACTGTACGTGCTCTTCAAATAAGACCAGAGAGTTTTGTTCAAACAGTGGAGAGGGCGGTTCTTTCCTAAAATCCTCTTATATACTTTTAGATTGAAGAATATAAACTTGCTTCTTAATTGTATTCATTTTAATTATTTATTTGACAGGGACATTGCAAGTCAACATAGAACAAAACAAGCTTGTTACTGATGCGATGCAAAAGGACTTTAAAGCTATTGCTAAGTTTCAACCCCAGTCCCTGGTTGGGCCTTTCTACACTACATTAACATTTGCCATATTATCTTAAAAAATACCTATTTACACTGTTTAATTTATTTACACAAACAAACTCAGTGCTATTAACACATGGGTATAATTCTGTTTTGATTTCAGCCAGGACTTAACCAGAGAAGTATTACGCTAAAGCTCTAGATTTCATTGTTATTGATATTTTTATAGTTATTGTTCATTTATCTTGAGCTTACTCGTTCCTACTGTGCTGTAACGGGTGATACAACTGACAATTATTATCTCTTCTTAGTCTTTTCCCGTCACTTTTCAGCCCCAGCCCTTTTATATACTTCAGATGGATGCGGCGTAGAACTTTCAACTTTGACTGTCGGACTTGGATTACTTTTCAATCCTGCTCTCTTTGCTTTTGGCACATCACTGACCCCCACTTTTGCTCAAAAACACACGTGGAAACCCCTTCTTTTTTTTTTTTCTTTGCTGCTGTATCGCTTCCAGACCTCAAGAGGACTGCAGCACCGACGTCTTTTTTTTTCCACCCAAACTCTTCTCTTACTTACCTCTCTGTTTTTCCACTGACCATTTTTTTTCTTGCTCCAAATTTACATTCCACGGAGCCTCTGCCTCAGCCTCAGCCCCTGCTCTCCTGCCTCAGCCCCTGCTCTCCTGCCTCAGCCTCTGCCTCAGCCTCTGCTCTCCTGCCTCAGCCTCTGCCTCAGCCTCAGCCCCTGCTCTCCTGCCTCAGCCCCTGCTCTCCTGCCTCAGCCCCTGCCTCAGCCTCAGCCCCTGCTCTCCTGCCTCAGCCCCTGCTCTCCTGCCTCAGCCCCTGCTCTCCTGCCTCAGCCCCTGCTCTCCTGCCTCAGCCCCTGCTCTCCTGCCTCAGCCTCTGCCTCAGCCTCAGCCCCTGCTCTCCTGCCTCAGCCCCTGCTCTCCTGCCTCAGCCCCTGCTCTCCTGCCTCAGCCCCTGCTCTCCTGCCTCAGCCCCTGCTCTCCTGCCTCAGCCTCTGCTCTCCTGCCTCAGCCTCTGCTCTCCTGCCTCAGCCTCTGCTCTCCTGCCTCAGCCTCTGCTCTCCTGCCTCAGCCCCTGCTCTCCTGCCTCAGCCCCTGCTCTCCTGCCTCAGCCCCTGCTCTCCTGCCTCAGCCCCTGCTCTCCTGCCTCAGCCCCTGCTCTCCTGCCTCAGCCTCTGCCTCAGCCTCAGCCCCTGCTCTCCTGCCTCAGCCCCTGCTCTCCTGCCTCAGCCCCTGCTCTCCTGCCTCAGCCCCTGCCTCAGCCCCTGCTCTCCTGCCTCAGCCTCTGCTCTCCTGCCTCGCCCTGCCTCAGCCTCAGCCCCTGCCTCAGCCTCAGCCCCTGCTCTCCTGCCTCAGCCCCTGCTCTCCTGCCTCAGCCCCTACCTCAGCCTCAGCCCCTGCTCTCCTGCCTCAGCCCCTGCTCTCCTGCCTCAGCCTCTGCTCTCCTGCCTCAGCCCCTGCCTCAGCCTCAGCCCCTGCCTCAGCCTCAGCCCCTGCTCTCCTGCCTCAGCCCCTGCTCTCCTGCCTCAGCCCCTGCTCTCCTGCCTCAGCCTCTGCTCTCCTGCCTCAGCCTCTGCTCTCCTGCCTCAGCCCCTGCTCTCCTGCCTCAGCCTCTGCTCTCCTGCCTCAGCCCCTGCTCACCTGCCTCAGCCCTTGCTCTCCTGCCTCAGTAACTGAACGCAATCAATGCAAGCCCAGCGAAGATCGGGGACGGCAACTACAAAACCCCCGATTCTAATTTCAGCTCAAAAGCCCGACAGAGCGTGACACTTTGTACATTTAGTGCCATTGAAGTGCTCTGATTTAATCTGATGATGGGTTTGGCATGTTGACAGGACGATTTAAGAAATGTGCGGGAAAAAAAAAAAAAAAAGGACTGAGAGAAGAAGCCTGACCGGGCACTTTCATCTAACTGCTTGATTGTTACGGACTTTTTTATAGCAAAGGAAGCTGAAATGTGTTAAATATGCAACTTTTTTGAGAGGGGAGATGTGTTTCCAAGCTCAGTTTTATCCCCTTTGGGTGACCTTGGTCTGCCAAATGCATTATACATGTAAAGATTACCGTCTTACTTACTTACACTTACTTACTTACACTTACTTACACTTACTTACTTACACTTACTTACTTACACTTACTTACTTACACTTACTTACACTTACTTACTTACACTTACTTACTTACACTTACTTACTTACACTTACTTACTTACACTTACTTACACTTACTTACTTACACTTACTTACACTTACTTACACTTACTTACTTACTTACTTACACTTACTTACTTACACTTACTTACTTACTTACTTACACTTACTTACTTACTTACTTACTTACTTACACTTACTTACACTTACTTACTTACACTTACTTACTTACTTACTTACTTACTTACTTACTTACTTACTTACTTACTTACACTTACTTACACTCACTTACTTACTTACTTACTTACACTTACTTACACTTACTTACTTACTTACTTACTTACACTTACTTACTTACTTACTTACTTACACTTACTTACTTACACTTACTTACACTTACTTACTTACACTTACTTACTTACACTTACTTACACTTACTTACTTACACTTACTTACACTTACTTACTTACACTTACTTACTTACTTACTTACTTACTTACTTACTTACTTACTTACACTTACTTACTTACTTACACTTACTTACTTACACTTACTTACACTTACTTACTTACACTTACTTACACTTACTTACTTACTTACACTTACTTACTTACTTACACTTACTTACTTACTTACTTACTTACTTACTTACTTACTTACTTACTTACTTACTTACTTACTTACTTACTTACTTACTTACTTACTTACTTACTTACTTACTTACTTACTTACTTACTTACTTACTTACTTACTTACTTACTTACTTACTTACTTACTTACTTACTTACTTACTTACTTACTTACTTACTTACTTACTTACTTACTACTTACTACTTACTTACTTACTTACTTACTTACTTACTTACTTACTTACTTACTTACTTACTTACTTACTTACTTACTTACTTACTTACTTACTTACTTACTTACTTACTTACTTACTTACTTACTTACTTACTTACTACTTACTTACTTACTTACTTACTTACTTACTTACTTACTTACTTACTTACTTACTTACTTACTTACTTACTTACTTACTTACTTACTTACTTACTTACTTACTTACTTACTTACTTACTTACTTACTTACTTACTTACTTACTTACTTACTTACTTACTTACTTACTTACTTACTTACTTACTTACTTACTTACTTACTTACTTACTTACTACTTACTTACTTACTTACTTACTTACTTACTTACTTACTTACTTACTTACTTACTTACTTACTTACTTACTTACTTACTTACTACTTACTTACTTACTTACTTACTTACTTACTTACTTACTTACTTACTTACTTACTTACTTACTTACTTACTTACTTACTTACTTACTTACTTACTTACTTACTTACTTACTTACTTACTTACTTACTTACTTACTACTTACTTACTTACTTTACTTACTTACTTACTTACTTTACTTACTTACTTACTTACTTACTTACTTACTTACTTACTACTTACTTACTTACTTACTACTTACTTACTTACTTACTTACTTACTTACTTACTTACTTACTTACTTACTTACTTACTTACTTACTTACTTACTTACTTACTTACTACTTACTTACTTACTTACTTACTTACTTACTTACTTACTACTTACTACCTACCTACCTACCTACCTACCTACTACTACTTACTTACTTACTTACTTACTTACTTACTTACTTACTTACTTACTTACTTACTTACTTACTTACTTACTTACTTACTTACTTACTTACTTACTTACTTACTTACTTACTTACTTACTACTTACTTACTTACTTACTTACTTACTTACTTACTTACTTACTTACTTACTTACTACTTACTTACTTACTTACTTACTTACTTACTTACTTACTTACTTACTTACTTACTACTTACTTACTTACTTACTTACTTACTTACTTACTTACTTACTTACTACTTACTTACTTACTTACTACTTACTTACTTACTTACTTACTTACTTACTTACTTACTTACTTACTTACTTACTTACTTACTTACTTACTTACTTACTTACTTACTTACTTACTTACTTACTTACTTACTTACTTACTTACTTACTTACTTACTTACTTACTTACTTACTTACTTACTTACTTACTTACTTACTTACTTACTTACTTACTTACTTACTTACTTACTACTTACTTACTTACTTACTTACTTACTACTTACTTACTTACTTACTTACTTACTTACTACTTACTTACTTACTTACTTACTTACTTACTTACTTACTACTTACTTACTTACTTACTTACTTACTTACTTACTTACTTACTTACTTACTTACTTACTTACTTACTTACTTACTTACTTACTTACTTACTTACTTACTTACTTACTTACTTACTTACTTACTTACTACTTACTTACTTACTTACTACTTACTTACTTACTTACTACTTACTACTTACTTGCTTACTTACTTACTTACTTACTTACTTACTTACTTACTTACTTACTTACTTACTTACTTACTTACTTACTTACTTACTTACTTACTTACTTACTTACTTACTACCTACCTACCTACCTACCTACCTACCTACCTACTACTTACTTACTTACTTACTACTTACTTACTTACTTACTTACTTACTTACTTACTTACTACTTACTTACTTACTTACTTACTTACTTACTTACTTACTTACTTACTTACTTACTTACTTACTACTTACTTACTTACTTACTTACTTACTTACTTACTTACTTACTTACTTACTTACTTACTTACTTACTTACTACTACCTACCTACCTACCTACCTACCTACCTACCTACCTACCTACCTACCTACTACTTACTTACTTACTTACTTACTTACTTACTTACTTACTTACTTACTTACTTACTTACTACTACTTACTTACTTACTTACTTACTTACTTACTTACTTACTTACTTACTTACTTACTTACTTACTTACTTACTTACTTACTTACTTACTTACTTACTTACTTACTTACTTACTTACTTACTTACTTACTTACTTACTTACTTACTTACTTACTTACTTACTTACTTACTTACTTACTTACTTACTTACTACTTACTTACTTACTTACTTACTTACTTACTTACTTACTACTTACTTACTTACTTACTTACTTACTTACTTTACTTACTTACTTACTTACTTACTTACTTACTTACTTACTTACTTACTTACTTACTTACTTACTTACTTACTTACTTACTTACTTACTTACTTACTTACTTACTTACTTACTTACTTACTTACTTACTTACTTACTTACTTACTTACTTACTTACTTACTTACTTACTTACTTACTTACTTACTTACTTACTTACTTACTTACTTACTTACTTACTTACTTACTTACTTACTTACTTACTTACTTACTTACTTACTTACTTACTTACTACTTACTTACTTACTTACTTACTTACTTACTTACTTACTTACTACTTACTACTTACTTACTTACTTACTTACTTACTTACTACTTACTTACTTACTTACTTACTTACTTACTACTTACTACTTACTTACTTACTTACTTACTTACTTACTTACTTACTTACTTACTACTTACTTACTTACTTACTTACTTACTTACTTACTTACTACTTACTTACTTACTTACTTACTTACTTACTTACTTACTTACTACCTACCTACCTACCTACCTACCTACCTACCTACTTACTTACTTACTTACTTACTACTTACTTACTTACTTACTTACTTACTTACTTACTTACTTACTTACTTACTTACTTACTTACTAACTTACTTACTACTTACTTACTTACTTACTTACTTACTTACTTACTTACTTACTTACTTACTTACAAACAGGTGAAGACTTGATTCTAGAAGTGACTTTGACACCGTGAGAACCTGTAACAGTCTCTGCGACCTGCGTCCTTCTGTTCTCTCGCAGGATACAACGACACGCTTCAGGAGCAGAACGTGCAGGACTGTGTGAAGGGCCAGTACTTCCTCCAGGACGACATGGAGGAGAAGAAAGTGTGCAGTTTCAAGAGGGGCCTCCTCAAAGCCTGCTCCGGCCTCTCCGACACCAGCTTCGGATACTCTGAGGGCCAGCCGTGCATCCTGCTCAAACTCAACAGGGTCAGACTCGGACCTCTCTGCTCTACCTCCGCTCTGGGATTATCACAATTCAATCATACGGCTTGTTCTGAAGCTGTTCTTGTTTTTTCAAATAAAACATTGTAAATTTAATACAACAACAACAACAAAGTATTATAAGTTATGAGGTTGTAATTGCTTGAATCGAGTGGTTTTTATCTTGATTTGGGCACTTTCTGACTGTCTTAAAACGATATTCTCCACTGGGACAAAGGCATTGAGTCTGATTTCAAGAACTATTGCTGTGTTTTCCCATTTTAAGTTATTTCTTGTATATTTTCAAAACAACATCATTTTGCCGTGTCCCGTTGGCAAATCTTACAGTCAAAAAATTTTGCCAAATTTTAGCTATGTTTACTTATTTCTCCTCACATTTTGCAGTGTAGAAGTAAGTAAGTAATTATATACCACCTCACACAGATCAGAGTCACAAAGCTGTTTACAAAAGACAATAGATAATACATTTTTATTGTTTTTTTAGACTTTATTAAGAACTCATGCAGACACAAAGAGGATTTTTCTTTTTTAAATGTGGTACAATGTGTTTTTCTATTCTATACAAGAGAAACTGTAAAGCTGCATCACTCTACACAGGGTTTGTGTACTTTTACGTTCAATACATTATCTTTTTTTGAAAGAAAATGGAAAATCGAAAAAAGGCAATTTTGCATTTTCAGGCACACAGCAATATACAAAAATAACCTTCTTTTATTTTTTTATTGCTTACAAGCCATATGTATATTATTATAACCGGATTTGGGAACTAGAACATGTAATAATTAAACTTTTTTTTAACGTATTTAATACATTTTGGCGTCAATCGATTACCCGGAAAAACAAAAAAAAACAAAATGGTCATATTTGTATATTGCCGTGTGCCTGAAAATGCAAAATAGCCCTTTTTTGATTTTCCATTTCCCTTCAAAAATAGAAAATGTATTGAACGCAAAAGTACCCAGAGCACACAGGTCTGGCCATAGGAATGTAGTGATCTTTAATTATCTATATATTCAGTGATATATATTTATAACATTTGGGGTCCATCCTCTCCAGATTCTCCAACGGGACAAAGCCAGTCTTATTTTAAAACTGTTATTTTCTCATTCCAATTGAGACATTTCTTGTGTATTTTCAAAACAGCTTTGTCCCATTGGCGAATCTCGTTTTAAGGCAGTCTGAATGTGCTCAAAGTAAGACACATTTTGCCACATTTGAGCCATTTTTCAACTTCTTTTTCACTAGTTTTTTTGCAGTGTTGTGTGCTCCTCATTCCTACTGTTCTTAAACTTGTGATGCAACACTGACATTTCCCCGCTGCTGTGTGTTGTTGCAGATCATTGGCCTGATGCCGCGTGGAGACCCTTACATCAACTGCACAGTGAAGGTGAGCGCCGCCGTCTGCGCTTCTGTCTCTGCACAAACTGATGAATTCCGTCCATGTTTTTTGACTCATTGTCTCATGTTTTTGCTTCATTTTTGTGTTTTCTTTTGGTTTTGTTCCTGCATGCCGTCATCGATGGTTTTAGGGTAAGCGTGTGCATTGGGGGGGTAAAGGATTACGGTTTTTTTCTTTGAGCAAAGGCTGTAGAGTTCAAATGAGCATGGAAAAATCAGCCCAATAATGCAGAATATTACTTAATCATCTGTCTGTATTTATGTCAGAACTACATATTAAACATTAAAGTATTCTATATTCACTAAACAGGACAATATTGAACTTTTCCTGAAAGTTGTTTACAAATGTTTCGGTCAAATTCAGAATTAGAGTGTCACTTTTAATACAATTTGAGTTTACATGTTGTCATTATCCAGTATTTAGCCTCATTCCCACTGCGCAAAAACTCTGGGACGGCCCTTTAATTCACTGAGCAACACGGGCTGGTGTGTCAAAACCACTCTGCATCTAACCCGCCTCAGGACCAAGTCTTTTCGACAAATCTAGTGGTAGTTTAGACAGATATAAAACAAGTCGCACCAGAAAGAGACCAGAGAGAGACCAGAGAGTGGGACTATAGCAAGATCAGAGAGAGTGAGAGAGACCAGAGAGAGACCAGAGAGAGAGACTAGACAGAGACCAGAGAGAGAGATCAGAGAGAGAGACCAGAGAGAGAGAAACCAGAGAGAAAGAGACCAGAGAGTGGGACTATAGCAAGATCAGAGAGAGTGAGAGAGACCAGAGAAAGAGACCAGAGAGAGAGACCAGAGAAAGAGACCAGACAGAGAGAGACCAGAGAAAGAGACCAGAGAGAGAGACCAGAGAAAGAGACCAGACAGAGAGAGACCAGAGAAAGAGACCAGAGAAAGAGACCAGAGAGAGAGAGACCAGAGAGAGAGAGAAACCAGAGAGAAAGAGACCAGAGAGAGAGAGACCAGAGAGAGTGAGAGACCAGAGAGAGAGACCAGAGAGAGAGAAACCAGAGAGAAAGAGACCAGAGAGAGAGACCAGAGAGAAAGAGACCAGAGAGAGAGACCAGCAAGAGAGACCAGAGAGAGAGACTAGAGAGGGACCAGAGAGAAAGACAAGAGAGAGAACCCAGATGGAGAAAGACCAGAGAGAGACCAGAGAGAGACCAGAGATAGACCAGAGAGAGAGACTAGAGAGAGACCAGAGAGAGAGACCAGAGAGAGAGACTAGAGAGGGACCAGAGAGAAAGACCAGAGAGAGAGACCAGAGAGGGAGAGACCAGAGAAAGAGACCAGAGAGAGAGAGAAAACCAGAGAGAAACAGACCAGAGAGAGAGAGACCAGAGAGAAAGAGACCAGAGAGAGAGAGACCAGAGAGAGAGACTAGAGAGGGACCAGAGAGAAAGACTAGAGAGAGAGGCCAGAGAGAGAGAGACCAGAGAAACAGACCAGAGAGAGAGAGACCAGAGAGAGAGATCAGAGAGAGGGACCAGAGAGAAAGACCAGAGAGAGAACCCAGGTGGAGAAAGACCAGAGAGAGACTAGAGAGAGACCAGAAAGAGTGACCAGATAGAGAGACAAGAGAGACCAGAGAGAAAGACCAGAGTGAGAGACCAGAGAGAGAGACCAGAGAGAGAGACAAGAGAGAAAGAGACGAGAGAGATAACCCAGATGGAGAGAGACCAAAGAGAGACAAATGGACACAAAACAGCGAGGCCTCAAAAGATGAACTGTGTAATATCCAGGGACCACTGAGTACAAGAGAAACAAGTAGGTAGCATTAGCATTAGCATTAGCATTAGCAAGACATATAGTTTAAAGATGACACAATATAAATTATTTTTGTTCTTTTAAAATCGTAATCAGACGTTTACCTTTAATTTCATGTTTTAGGATGTGGAATAATATCTTCAGTAGAAAATATATGGTTGAACAAGTATGAAGGGTTAAAAAAGAGATTTGCCTGCTCTGTCCCAGTGCAGCCACCAGAGGGAGAAGTGTAGAATTATTTTGTTTTATCTTTTTCTCTCAAATTCGAAAAATTATCGGCTGCAACCACTGCCATGTTTTTTGCAAAGAACGTCTATTCACCTGATAAATTACCTAAACGAATGAAGAGGTATTGTTTTTGTTTTAAAACGCAAAAAAAACCTCCTGATGTTATTGTAGATGGATATAAAAGACTAAAAGAAGTACATTTTTCTATACATATTTAAGTCCTCCATTTTAATACGAACGGCCGTAGAAACACATACAACCACCAACAACGATCGCCCTCAATTAAATCTGCCACTAGGGGGTGCTGTGCCGCTCATTCTAATCCCCTCTCACTCCATTTCTCATGTTAATTCCTAATTTTTCTACTGAACAAATGATTCTACGCTGTAAAAAAAAACTAAAACGGCAAAAGCTAATCTCCCGTAGATCCTGCATAAGCGCTAAGTTTAACACGAATACTGCTTCCTGTTTGTGCTTTCGACCCATCTCCCTCCATCCAGCCGCGGTTTGAACCTGTTTGAATACATTTGTTGTTGTTGCTTGATGGAGATGACATTCAGAAAGCACTGGAGTGGCTGCTCTGGGCTGCCTCTGCGGAGTCAGGTCTATTCATTTTGACATTTACAGACATCGCTCTCTGGCTCCTAATGCTTCATCCTCCTGTGTGCGTGGCTCCCCTGCTCTCTCTCTATCTCTCTCGTGCTGTCTCTCTGGTCTCTGTCTCTCTCTCTGTTTCCCTCTCTCTCTGTTTCTCTCTGTCTCTCTCTCTGTTTCTCTCTGTCTCTCTCTCTGTGTCTCTCTCTCTCTCACTCTCTCTCTCTGTGTCTCTCTCTCTGTGTGCGTCTCTCTTTCTCTGTCTCTCTCTCTGTGTGTCTCTCTCTCTCCCTCTCTCTCTCTGTCTCTCTTTCTCTTTCTCTCTGTCTCCCTCTCTGTCTCTCCCTGCCTTTCTCTCTCTCTGTCTCTCTCTCTCTGTCCCTCTGTCTCTCTCCCTCTGTCTCTCTCTGTCTCTCGCTCTCTCTCTCCCTCTCTCTCTGTGTCTCTCTCTCTCTCTGTCTCCCTCTCTCTCCCTCTCTCTCTCCCTCTCTGTCTCTCTCCCTCTCCCTCTCTCCCTCTCTCTCTCCCTCTCCCTCTCTGTCTCTCTCCCTCTCCCTCTCTCCCTCTCCCTCTCTGTCTCTCTCCCTCTCTCTCTCCCTCTCCCTCTCTCCCTCTCTGTCTCTCTCCCTCTCCCTCTCTGTCTCTCCCTGCCTTTCTCTCTCTCTCTCCCTCTCTGTCTCTCTCCCTCTCTCTCTCTGTCTCTCTCTAACATAACATACACTGTGTATTTCCTGTGAATGTGAGCAGACATATCCTGTTAAACGCTCTTGTCCGTGTGCTGCAGAAAGACTCCCCGGTGCAGATGGCGTACTATCCCGATGAGGGCCGCATCGACAAGAAGTATTTCCCTTATTACGGCAAGAAGGCTCACGTAAGTCTGACTGTGGAGGAGAGGCCGCTGTTGGAAGCACTGATCAATAAGTCAGAGAGAGAAATGTTAAAGCACCAGGCCACGGGGCTAACCGTCAGCCATGGAAATCATCAAAAAGAACATTATATTTGTGGATTCTAAAGTCTTTGGCCTATTTCATTATGGTTTCTGCTCTGCTCTCGTGTGTTTGGGTGTTTAAATGTGTTTTACATTTGATCCTAGACAAAAGTGATTAGATTAGAAATTAAATGAAAAATATATGAATAATTGTGATCATACAGGATTTGACTGAAAATACTCCTGTGTCCTATTGTTTTTTTCCCTTGTTTTAAAAATTTGAAAAAAATAAAAAATAGTATTGCTTTTACTATGCATGTGGTAGAGCATGGGTCTCAAATCTAGAGCTCGGGAGCTACCAGTAGCTCGCCAAAGGAGTAAATATAAAAATGCCTACTTTTAGATTATAGATTGAGTATGATAGAAACAGAAAAAATGGCCAAAAGAAAGATGTAAATTGTTCAAATTTGGCTAAATGGATTCGAGAACATTTTGACAGTCTTAAAACAAGTTTTGCATCATAAAATACGTAATACATTTGCTATTGCCCCTTTGTTTTAAGAAAGGTCTCCAAATCAAGATCAAGTCTACCTGATCCTTTGTAGCATCATAAAAGGAGAGAGAGAGAGAGAGAGAGAGAGACAGACACAGAGAGAGAGAGAGAGAGACAGACACAGAGAGAGAGAGAGAGAGAGAGAGAGAGATAGACAAAGAGAGAGAGAGAGAGAGAGAGGAGCCTGATGCTGAGCTGTGCTCCTCCTGCAGGAGAACTATGTGCAGCCTCTGGTGGCCGTGAAGCTGCTTCTGGGGAAGGAGGACCTGAACAAGGAGCACTCGGTGGAATGCCGGGTAGAGGGCTCCGACCTGCGCAACAACGACGAGCGAGACAAGTGGCTGGGCCGCGTCAGCTTCAAAGTGAAGGTGACGGAGTAAAGCGGCGGCTGCGGGATGCAAAGCAGAGGCTGCCAATGTTGCTCTAACGCCGAGAATCCGAAAGGAAGAGTCACATCACGTCACTAAGGCAGCATTCTGCCGCAAGATGCAGTTCAAGGAGCTTCACCGCCATTTGGAAAGCTCCTCGAATGTTGCTTTGATGACTTTTATGACCTTTCTTTCCTTCTGCTGACCTCCTTCAAGATCCCAACGAACAAGATACAGGCTTTGCACCTGATCCTTCATCAAACCTAACGTCACCATCCCATAGCAAACCCACGTGTTGCACTGCCCAATCTTTATCATTTAGCCTCATCCGATAGCCATTACGAACAAGCCATCGATCTTCTAGCTTACTTCTCATTCATTACGGTTGTGTTTCCATGAATAACATTTCAATTTTAGAAATATCGCAGAAAGACACATTTATGACCAGTTTCTAAAAAGGAAGTGGAAGAGGCTGAGGAGGATTTTGTTTCAGGGTGAGATAGTAGATTTCAGAATAAAAGCGTGTTGACAGGTGCTGGATGCTGTTAGTGCTGTGAGACGCAAACTATTACCATTCCAAAAATAACCAACTCCTTGTAAAACTGCCAATACTGAAGCGACGGCTGTGGGTTGTGGTTTCGAGAGGGGAAGAAGGTGGATTATTTTGAGTTTCAGCGCGAGTATCTTTGCCTACGTATCTCAGTGCGTCTGCTAGCTCAGCCCTCGGAGTCCGTCAATGGTCTCTATAGCGCTGCGACAAAAAAAAAACTAGTCTTTGCTTTGAGAAATCGTCACAAATTTGCCTCGCGATATTTCAAAATGATCGTGAAACCCTTTATGGAAAACACTCGATGTATTTCCGAGCTGTTGTCGCCACCCCATTACTACAAGTGTGAATGCCTATCTGAGTTTTAACGGCTGGTGCAGGTTGAATTTTTATCTTGCTGTATAGTATTTGAGAAAGACTAGCTTTTCATGTGTCATCTATCTCACTTCAGAGACTTCATAGAAAAACATATGTTGATAATCAAGTATAGCCACTGTATCCTTGTATATGAAATGCCAATTACAAAGTCCCTTTCTACGTATAAATAAATAAATACATTGTGAAACTTGCATATTTAGGGAACTCTTAGATCTATGTGCTGTGGTGCGGCCACGGCCCAGTCTTGTGCTGTCTGTCTGTCTGTCGTTTGCATGTTGTCCGTCTGTCGATGTCTTCCTGTCCGCACACCTCTCCACTGCAATAGAGCGAAAAGGACTCCAGGGGGCTCCCACGCGGCCTTCGCACAACCGCCGCCGCCGCCGCCGGAACCACGGGACGGGCAAATGTTGTACAGTTTTTTGTTCTAACACATCGGCTCGGCCCTGCGTGTTTTACGTTTTTTTCCCCTCTATGTCATTGCTATATACCGGTTTTTATTCAATTCTATTCATTTTTGTACAGCCCTATATCACGACTGAGGTTGGCCCGGAGGACTTCACTACGTTTTCAAGGACTTAACAACGTTTTGCGGACTTTACAACGTTTCCGAGGACTTTACAAAGTTTCCGGGACTTTTCAACGTTTCCAGGACTTTACAAAGTTTCCAGGACTTTACAAAGTTTCCGGGACTTTACAACGTTTCCAGGACTTTACAACGTTTCCAGGACTTTACAACGTTTCCAGGACTTTACAAAGTTTTCCAGGACTTTACAAAGTTTTGAGGACTTTACAAAGTTTTCCAGGACTTTACAAAGTTTCCAGGACTTTACAAAGTTTTCCGGGACTTTACAACATTTTCCAGGACTTTACAAAGTTTCACTGACTTTACAAAGTTTCCAGGACTTTACAAAGTTTCAAGGACTTTACAAAGTTTCCTGAACTTAACAAAGTTTTGAGGACTTTACAAAGTTTCCAGGACTTTACAAAGTTTCAAGGACTTTACAAAGTTTTCCAGGACTTTACAAAGTTTCGCTGACTTTACAATGTTTTCCAGGACTTTACAAAGTTTCAAGGACTTAACAAAGTTTTGAGGACTTTACAAAGTTTTCCAGGACTTTACAAAGTTTCAAGGACTTAACAAATTTTTGAGGACTTTACAAAGTTTTCCAGGACTTTACAAAGTTTCAAGGACTTAACAAAGTTTTGAGGACTTTACAAAGTTTTCCAGGACTTTACAAAGTTTCCAGGACTTCACAAAGTTTTCCAGGACTTTACAACATTTTCCAGGACTTTACAAAGTTTCACTGACTTTACAAAGTTTCCAGGACTTTAAAAAGTTTCAAGGACTTAACAAAGTTTTGAGGACTTTACAAAATTTCCAGGACTTTACAAAGTTTCAAGGACTTTACAAAGTTTTCCAGGACTTTACAACATTTTCCAGGACTTTACAACATTTTCCAGGACTTTACAAAGTTTCGCTGACTTTACAAAGTTTTCAGGACTTTACAAAGTTTCAAGGACTTTACAAAGTTTCAAGGACTTTACAAAGTTTTACAAATATTGGCCAACACAGATCAGAGAATCACAGGAAATGCAGCGATAACAAAAACACACAGAGCCATTGGTCCATAAGCGGCGGCTGACCAGTGTATATAGATATTATTAGATGTTCATAGTTGTCTTGGATCATCACCACTGTCCTTAGACGCTCCTGCATCGGCAAAGGACCACTCAGAACAAAACAATAAGTGAGAAACCTCTTCAGACTTCAGACACTGAGCAGAGGGAATCTCGTAGGACGCTGGTGATTTTGAACACAGCCGGCGTATTTGAGGCCTCATTTATAAAGCCAATGTACGGGACTTTTCCTCGTAAACGATTGGGATCCGGGAGAAAACAGCGAGACAGATTTGGACCAAAAGAAAAGTACAGATATTTGCGGAAAAGAAAAGTTCAAAGCGCGTCTGGTCTCTGCTTGATTTTGTCTTTTCTTTCCTTTCTCAGACTTTACTAATGATCACACTGCAAAAGGTGGTGAAAAACAGGTAAAAATGCTGATATTTGGCTAAATGTATTAATTTGAGCACATTCTGACTGCCTTAAAACAAGATTTGCAAATGGGACAAAGCAAAATTATCTTGTTTTTAAAAAGATACAAGAAAAGCCTCTCTTGGAATGAAAACAATAAAGCAACAGATCTCGAAATTAGACTAAATGGCTTTGGAGAATCTTGTGCTAACACAGTGAGCTCAGATTAAGATTAAAAACACTCAATTCAAGCAATTATTATCTCATATTTTATCCTTTTTTGCAGTGGTCTGAGCTTAATTATTTATAATGTTGTGAGCAAAATGATAGAATTGCCTTTAAAATGGGGTCAATGATGACTGAGAATCTAACGTCATTTTTTATAAATGAGGCCCAGGGTTTTTTTTTCACCACACGATTGACATTGAATATTTTTTCTTTCCCTTCATGGCATATTTAATTTTTTTGAAATGAATATAATATATACAATATTTTATTTAGATTCAGAGTTTCCACTGACTGTTGGGATCTCAAAGTGGATGTGAATATTAGTGTGTAATAAACATATTGTGAAATATAGTTTAGATATTATATTTCTATATCGTGTGAGAGAGACTTAAAGCTGGGGAACCTCACTTTTTCACCAAGAATACATTGTGTTTGTCCCAAAAGATCAGTGTAAATCTTTGTCAGAAAATCAGACCATATCGTGTTGTATTCATCGTATTCCAACACAGACGAGAGAGCCCTGTGAGTCATTATTTGACGCTTTGGGCTGCGAGCTGATTGGCCGAGCAAGAACCATCCTCTCTTTTAACTGCGACAGAAAATACCTGCATGTGTAAAATAGTGACGCAACACACGTTGAACCGCGTTGAAAAGTCAAGTCCCCCAGCTTTAAACTAGTAGGCTATTTTTTTAATTTGCAAAATGAAGAAAGACACTGTCCCCAAAGGTTGAGAACAACTGCTTTCGATCACCGCCGTTTCCATTTGACATCTCACAGTGTACAGAGAGGGGCCTCCACAGAGAGGGGGGGAGCCCAGGGGCCAGGTGGTGCTTGTGGACAGTGGAAGCATTGGCTCAGGAGGCTACACAAACTGGCTTTGAGGCGCGGAGGCCAAAGGCAAAAGAAAACCACTGTAACTATGTACTGTATATCTATGTGTTCTGTATACTCGGTCTCAAAGATTGTTTGTTAGTTACTCTTGAAAATCTTCTTCAGCCTGTTGATCTGATTGTCTGCCGAGCTCTATCTACTCTACTCGATGTATATATATATAAACACTATCTACCATATTTACTGAATTCACACTGTATTTTTGTCACAACACACAATGTCTGTGCACTGTAAAGAAATAATTTAAGGAAAGATTTACAGGAAATGATCTTATTCAAAGCTATGTTTACACAGTCGTAAAAAGGAACCCACATAATGAAAAAACAACTTGTAACATCTCTTCAGGGTGCCTTAAGACCTGATGAAATAAATTGTGGAATAAAAGTGATTTTGAAGAAAAAAAATTGGCCACCTCTTCAATCATTGCATCAACTGAGAATTAGTGATAGACGTACGACATCGTAGCTTTAGCCAAAGGAGAAGGCTTCGGCGAGCTTTAAAATACTGGGGGAATTTGATTGTATTGTGATATTTGGGCCACAATTCAATATTTTTGCGATTCTTAGTATATCGCGATACAGACGATTTATATTGTGATTCGATTCCTTGATATATTGTAATTCATGTTTTTCATATTATTTTTGAGGGATTCGAAAAATTGAGGAAAGTAAGACTCAAATGTCACAATATTTTTTGTCTGTGCATAAACTGGTGCAAAAACGTATCTATTCAGGACACAGACAAGAAAAGGCGACTTCTCACATGAATAGAGCTCCCAGCTTAACTTAAATTATTCAAATACAACAGACTAAAGTCACAAAAATCAGAAAACCTCAGATGTAAATTACCAGTAAAAAACAAACAAACAAGTGAAAGAGATAATCATTTCATTAAATATTGTATTGATTGTATCGATTTAATCGTGTGTGCAAACTATCA